AGAGAGAGAGAGAGAGAGAGAGAGAGAGAGAGAGAGAGAGAGAGAGAGAGAGAGAGAGAGCATCATTTAAATGAACTGTCCCACACATACCTCATTCGGGTGGCCACCAATTCGATCCTTCAAGTGGTCTGGAATATCCTGTGGCGTCAACTTTCTTCCAATGGCTGCCATCGGGCCCAGACCTGGGGGAAGCACTTCCACTGCTTGCTCAGTCTCTGGCTTTTCCTCTTGTGTAGAAGCCATCTTTGCTAATCTTTGCTCTGCCGTACCCTACTCTTGTCAAATTCTCACCTGCGCTGCGATTCACGGCAGCCTAACACACCAGCCGTACTCCCCCTTCGCATGTCCTGTCCTGAGATTTGTCCTGCCTTACAGAATTCTGCAACCGTCAGGTTCTCTGGCGCTCCTTCCTGTCTCCCTGCTAGCCAGATGAGCATCCTTAGTCTATCGATGACAACGGTTACCCCCAATAGAAACAGATAATATGCAGGCAGCCCAAATCAAAAAAATTATTTGCCAAAATAGAGACAGGTACTATGTGCTCAGCCTAGAGCACTGGCTCTCCCCCCCCCCCCCCCCCCTCTCTCTCTCTCTCCCCCCCTCTCTCTCTCTCCCTCTCTCTCCTCCTGTAAGGCGTGTTGTGCTTTCAAGTTGAAACATCATCCGACTCAGTGTGGTGGTGGTCCCCACTTCTCCCTTCAAGCCAGAGTGAGTGTATAAACTGTAATTTACCACAGCAATGACAACACGTCGAACACAATTGAATCTCACGACCTCCTTCCTCCCTCCCGCCTGGAAGAAGTGACACAACAGACGTGCCTTGCCTCAACTCGCACTTTTGTGCGATAAACACGAAATGTCGGCTTGGTCTTTGTCAAACAGCACAGCTGCAGCATTCAATTACAAAGCCATCGGGTCCATTAACATGCTGCGGAGACCCTAATCATGACTACCATCTTTTCCCCATAGAAAGCCTGCCATTATAGCTGTATATGGTGCAGCTTTCCGTCTAGATTCTGCAATAATGACGAGGCGTTCTATTCGGCTGAAGACCGTAGAGAACAGGATGGCAGGTTCAAAGATCCAGGCGCCCTTTGTTTAGAAAAGGCTAGACGAGCGGGAACCAGGCCGCCAAGTCCATCATGTCTGCACCCACAACACTGCAACAAATTGAATCTGGACTTCGTCTAACAACATCAGAGTGCAACGGTCAATAGACTCGACACAAGAGAGAGCAATGCCATACCAAGAAAGGGCACTGGCGAGCTCCCGCATGACAAACGGTGTGCTTTTTTATATGCCTGAGAGACTAAGAAGATTATAATTACAATTGTGTTCGACACAATTGTGTTCGAAGTTAGTAAAACTTATGAAAGGGAACCACTTTTTTTGGGTTTTTGGTTGAAATAACTGGGGGGGTGACCGGTGGACAGTTCCTAATTAGCAGGAACTTCAAGGAAGAACAAACAGGGCACTGTGGGTCTGGGCCGAGGAAGGGCAGTTAGAAAGTGCAAAAACAGAAGTCTTAGGACAGCTTTGTGCACTTCTAGCCATTGCTCGGACGCAAAATCAGGCGGCCACTTTTTTTTTTTTTTGCACGCATCAACGATCAGCGCACCTGTCTCTTATACACATCTAGATGTGTATAAGAGACAGGTGAAGGGGAGATTTCATGTTGCCCCCTGCCCCTAATGGTTATGGTATTCCACACCTGCAACTCATTTCTTTTTATTACGGAAGCGGCGGAGGAGCACATGCACGCGTTCGGACTAAAACTTCTTTTTTTTTTTCTTTTTTTTTTTCATACAGAAGCGGCGGAGGAGAGAGGTTCCACCTCCAATCTTCCCCCGAACACAACACACACTCTTTTTTTCTGGTTTTTGTTTTTGCTCGAAATCAAATTCATATTACCAAGCTGTGGAGTCGAGGCCGGACACTTCAGAATTCTACCCAGACGGACCGGAAATATAGCTTGTATTCATGTATCATTAGGGTGCATTATGTTCGGGGTAAGACAGTAGAGTACCCCAGGCCTCTCCCTGTCGCCCCCATAACCCCTCCCTCCCCCCTTTCCCCCTTCCCCCCTTCAGCTTGTATTCATGTATTATTAGGGTGCAGTATCTTCAGGGTAAGACAGTAGTACCCCTCTTCCTGTCGCCCCCATAACCCCTCCCTGCCCCCTTTCCCCCTTCCCCCATCCGCCCCCCCAAATCCTTGGATCCCCGTCCCACCCATTCGACACTGACTGATCATAAAAGAAAGAAACGCCAAGAACGAGAAAAAGGGAGCCACCCATTCAGAAATCAATTGAGTGAGTGACACTGTGCCCTGCTCACTTAAAGCTCTGGTCAAATACCCATTCTCATGGGCTGCCAGCGTCTCCTCAAAACCCACCCGTTCAGAAATCAATTGAGTGACACTGTGCCCTGCTCACTTAAGGCTCTGGTCAAATACCCATTCTCATGGGCTGCCATCGTCTCCTCACAACCCCCAATGTGCTTTCCGCCAACGAATAGCGAGGGGACGGTACTCTGGCCCGTCAGCTCCTCCAGAGCACGCTGAAGGGTCTCCCCATCATCCCTCTCATCGAGCTCCACAACAGTGGCACACTTTACGCCCAGATCTCTTAGCAGCTTCTTCACTCTCCCGCAGTAGGGACAGTACGTCTTGCTGAACAGCAGAACCGGCTCGGTCTGCACCATTGCCTTGACCTGCTTGATCGTCGCATTCATGAGAAGTGAGGCTGTTGACATGATGAAGAAGAAGAAGATGATGATGACGATGATGATGATGAAAGGTGATTGATAACGAACACTGAATGATGATGAATGCTGATGAATGCTGATGAAGGATGATGGGGAATGCGTCACTTAGCCCCAGGAAAGGCATGTACGTACCCCTCCCAATCTTTGGCATGCGCTCCCTTCCTCCCTCCGCTCCACGAATCTAAATGATACATGTGAGCCAGCGAGCATGCAATTCGTACAACGAAAGAACGTTATTATCGACATCTCTCTCTCTCTCTCTCTCTCACTATATATATATATATATATATCGTCACAAACAGAACTGCCCGGTAAACCGTAGGCAGAGAGAGAGAAAAGGACAACAAACGACGGGCTGTGACAAACTGTTTCGTCGGAGTTTCATATATATATATATATATATA